ATCGTGACTGAAAAGTAATAAAATATAATAATGAATAAAACAAAAAGTAAAGATTTGCAAAAGGTGTATCTATTTTATTTTTTTATAGATAGATACTTAATACTTATATAGTACAAACTTAYATGTTTGATATTTATTTAAAAAAATTAATTAGAATTTTTACTCAGTTAGATGTTTCACTTATAAGGTTATAGTTATAGTTAGTATGATCAGAGGCCGTTTTTAATATTCATCAATACGAATAATACGATGCTTAGAAGAAAAAATAGGTAGGTAAGGTATGTAAAAAAAAAATTTCCAACTGAACAAACTTCTTCTAGAAGACCCTTTCTGCAACATAATTATAAATAAACAAGTTCTTAGAAGGAACGTGTGTCAAAAAAAAAAAAAAACAAAAAACAAAAAATTACAAAAACATTTTATCAATACATCACAATGTCTTAATAATTGTAGAATCGTGTTTATATAATTACATACATTTCCGAAATGAGTATCTATCGGATTTCGTCTCATATTTACATTTCACATACATTAATGCCTACTGTTATCGGACTTACGAGTACAATACAAATTAGAAGGATAGGTTAAATTAGTAAATTATTTTTCCATTAGCTACGATGAGTTGAATTAACTTTTGGCAAAAAACATCGCTTATAATATTATAATATATTTATGCTAAATATTATTTACCTTSMACCAACGTATCCACCGTACAATGGTGTAAATTGAAGSGTATAAAAAATAGATCTATCTATTGTTTTTAAATAGATTTAATGAAATTATGTTTTCTCTTATAAAAAATYAAAAATATAATATTTTTTTTCATAATCGGAAACACAAAAATGTATTTATTTCGTTATGAATTATAATGCATGTATCATKTAGATATTATCATTGATTGTATTAAGTATTTATAATCAATGCGGTAGGTACTTATTAAAATACGAAAGTCAGTGGTATTCAAACTKTGCGACGCTGCTCCAAGGGGCGTCAAAAGAGTTGGCGAAGACAGCCGACCTCAAAGCACCGGAAACCAACTTTAATG